GCACCCACATGCGAGACTCGTCAACAAAACCCAATGTCACCAACCCGATTAAATATTCCAATTTAGCCGATCAAACATTGTTACGAATCGCTCGAATCTGCGCGGGTCCAGAAATTGACTTAAAATTGTAAACTAGCGAGTCAGAAACCGCAGTCTGTATGTAATCAAAAAACATAACTGATGATAAGCCGAAAAAAAAACTATTTTTAAAAATACACTCAAATATTTACCATTTGTTTTTTGAAACTTTGTATGTATACACAATCTTCACGCACCACTAAAGCAGTCGTCCTCAACATAGTTATCACCAAAAACTTACTACTATTTCTTAAATTCTTATTTTAAAACTATGGCAGACACATGTATATATTTAATTGTTGCTGAGTTAAATATTTTTCTCAATATAAAATTTTGCATTTAATCCGTAGTTAATTGTTTGTTTCAATGCTTTTATTGTTTGCAAAATTTCCAACACCAAACCGTCACGGATAGATACTCGTTTTGCGTATGTACTTTGTATGTGATTAAGTCACATTGAATAAATACTTCCGACTAAAAATAAATTAGAAGATATATGGATTTGCATATCGAGGATGTTATGCAACAGAGTCGCCAAGCAAGCGTACTTGCCTTGAAAACAAGAAAGACATTGTATTGTACTGTGATGGCATTTTTCGCGATTAGTTAGTATTGCCTTTTCATATTTTTTTAAAGGTTCTTTCTTTTCTGTGCCAAAGCTAGTCTGCAATACATAACATTTTTGTTTTTATAATTTCGAAAGGAGGCCAAACCGGATGCTGTCGCTGATTTAACTTACATACATATATATATATATATATTGAATATAATTAGATTGAAAATTTAGCTTCCAATATTTATATATGTATATTAATATTATATATGCGTATTTATATTAGTGTGAACTTTTTATGCGGAATATACTATACGTAAATACATACACATACATATGTGAGTATATTTAAGGTCGCTAGACAAGCAGACGCTTTATTTACAAAATAAATACTTAAACTGAAGTTAATAATATATTTATTATTTATACAATACTTACCGGCATATATGCATATGTGTTGTGGGCACTAAAGAAAAATACCCGAAAAGAATGAATATGCTTTCAAATGAATGATATCACCTGATTTCATGTTTTTTGACACGCTACATATGATAATGAATTGCTTTAAATTATTTTTAAAGCTTTCAATTTTTACTTTCGATATTATTTTCTTCTATTTCATCCATATCATTAGAAGATTCAAGAATATGCAAATCGATAGATATAAATAGTTCTAATACATGTTTTCATATCGACATATATTTGTGTTTCTTATATGCTTTTTGATATAAACTCATAAGAAAAGGCAAAATAAAATGCATGAAAAGTGTATGTGTGTCTTTCAAGGACGTTTTCAAGAGTTCATTGCCTTTTATTCATAGAAAAATATAGTAAATAAATATTATGCTCTAGTTTATGGGTTTTTGTTTTTAAGTTGAAAATAATATTTATAAATCATACCAAGTGCCACTGTAATATCAAAATCAATTGGACCGAAGTGAATATTTTCATGTCGAATATATTTAATTCTCTTTGTAACTAATACTCTGGTCGGACACAAAGAAGAGATCAAGCCACCGATGCCCAAAGAACTATTGTTCAAGCAGGGCGCTGAATAGCTGACAAGGTGCATGCATCAGCCGCTTTGCAGAATATGGTCGGACGAAAGCATGCCCGACGATTGGAATTTAAGTGTGCTCTGCCTAATGCATAAAAAAGGGTATTTCACAGGCTGCGCCAATTACCGTAGGATACGCTTCCTCAATATCGCTTATAAGGTCCTGTCGAGCATATTGTGTGAAAGACTGAAGCCCACTGTCAGCAAACTGATTGAACCTTGTCAGTGTGGCTTCAGACGTGGTAAATCAACCATTGACCAGATATTCACTATGGGCCAAATCTTGGAAAAAGCACGTGAAAAGTGAATCGACATACATCACCTCTTCGTCGATTTCAACAACACGAATATGAGTTGCCTTTACGCCGCTATGGCTGAATGTAGTTTCCCGGCAAAAATTATACGGTTGGGTAAGCTGACGCTAGAAAACACCAGAAACGCAGTCAGAAATGGGAAGGACCTCTCCAAGCCGTTCGATACCAAGCGAGGTTTCGTGTGATTTCTTCAATTTGATACTGGAGAGAATAATAAGAGCTACAGAGCTGAATAGAGAAAGTACAATCTCCTATTAGAGTGTACAACTACTGGCGTACGCCGATGATATTGACATTATCGGCCTCAACAACCGCGCCGTTAGTTATGCTTTCTCCAGGCTTGATAAAGTGAGGTGAATGGGTCTGGTAGTGAACGAGGGCAAGACTAAATATCTCCTGTCATCACACAAACAGTCATTGCATTCGCAACTCGGCTCCCGCCTCACTGTTGACAGTCATAACTTTGAAGTCGTAGACTATTTCGTCTATCTAGGAACCAGCATTAACACCAATAATAACGTCAGCCTTGATTAATTTGGACTGAGTAGGCAATTGAAAAGTAAAGTCCTCTCCCGGCAAACGAAAACCAAACTCTACAAGTCACCCATCGTTTCCATCTTGCTGTATGGTGCATGCTTCCGGGCGATGACAGCATCTGATGAGATGGTGTTAGGAGTTTTTGAGAGAAAGGTTTTGCGTAAGATTTATGGTTCTTAGCGCGTTGGCAACGGCGAATACCGTAGACGATGGAACGATAAGCTGTACGAATTATATGGCGAGATTGGAATAGTTCAACGAATCAAGAAGCAGCGCCTACGCTGGCTAGGTCATGTGATCTGTATGGATTCGAATACTCCAGCTTTGTAACAATGGTTTGGTTCGCGGGACACATCGCACGCCCCGTCCAATAATTGTTCGACCGAATCCCTTGGCAAAGTCGATAGTTCGAGCAACTATTAATTAAGAGGGTAATACGTATCCTCAGTGATCATATGTAGCGGATTGAGCAGTCTATCAAAGAATCCCGATTGATCTGTGCCCATCCACTTTGTGAAAGATTTTGTGGAATGATGTTAATTTGAAGGCCTACCAAAATCGAACTTGTGCAAGAATAGGCCCAAAACGTGACAGCCACCTATCCGAATTTCTTAAGAAAATTTTGTTCATCGATGAAGTTCACTTTTCATGGAATTTGGCGTAATGATAATCCACAAGATATTGTTGAGATGCCGTTATATCTTCACAAAGTCATTGTCTGATGTGCTCTATGAGCAAAGGGAACTATTCGTGAGCGAATTATCTTGTGATCGTGGGATTTAACACCGCTGAACTATTTTTTGTGGGATTATTTGAAGACGCTTGTCTACACTGATCAGCCCGAGATTGCGGACACTTAGGAAGAGAATATACGATAAGTAATTGGTGAAATACGGTCTGAATTGTTGCAAAAAGTAGTCGAAAATTGGGACTCTCGGCTGTTCACTGAGAAATATAATGTCTTGCAAAAAAACGTACGAACGTAATCGAAATGCAGAATAGCCCTGAATATGTATGAGGTACACTTTCATGAAAAAGCCCTAAAAAGCTCTATTTTTATATCTGCGTCCCCGATAGCTGAGTGGATAACATTGCATGCTGTCATTCCGAAGTCCCGGTTTAAATCCTGGTACGACCAACATCAAAAATTAATTTCAAATAAAAAATGAGGATAAATTTTTTACTTAAATAAAAGCTCCTCATGAATAACCCTAAGCATCTCCACTCGGAAGCAGCTTAGTATAAACTATAAGGTAGGACTCTCATTTTTTGTAAAACATAAAAGCACAAACCACAAATCGGAGGAGGAGCTCGGCCGAAAATCACTTCAGCTTGTTATCTCTTCAAAACGGAAATGAAAAACAAGGGATGTCAAAATGAATAAAGTTTCAGAGTTGCAATTTTAAAGCTTCTGCCAGAGTTGCACTGCGCCACAGTACTCTCCTCCCCTTAGAGAACCGTATCTATCGCGATCTATCGCGGGCTTTAGGCGATCGATGGAAACCTTGACTTTGCTAGCGCTGACTTCGACAACGAAGTACATGGATGTGCGGCTAATAACCTTGGGTGGGACTATGTTGGGTGCTGATAAGGATAGCCTAATCGAGTCATCCCGAATGAAGTCGTTTTTGCTTGACTTCAGCTTATTATGAACGAATGGTTTCATTGGGGCATGCCAAGCAGTATCGACAGGGTCGCAGCTCTTGCATGATAAGAACTACTCACCGTCTCCACCTCGTTTGACTTTTTGTTGCATTCAGTGAAAAAATCCGAAGGCAGACGAAGCGTTTTGCCGTGAACGAGCTCCAAAGGCCCTCCATAAAACCTCTACGTAAGCCCAATAAAATAATTGGTAGATACGACATCCCTTGGTCTGCATTGGGAAATAGAAAAGACGATTTTAACATACATTGCCATTGCATTGCGGATGATACGCCTTTGTTCGTAAATGTGAAATGCCGAAGCATTGAAACAGTTGCTGAAATAAAGCGCTCTCAAATCGACGTGTTGTCGTTTTTCTTGCTACCCGCGATCACTGCGAAAACTTGCCCTTGATGTTCCAACGTTTTTGGCAAGAATTGACGGTAAAAATTCAGCAAAGCCATACAACGCTTAAGTTCCTTGATGACAATGGAAAGAGGGATTTGTATTAGAGCTTCTTTGCGGCTACGAAATGAAACTATCGTTTCAAAAAATTTTTCAAGTTCAAGATCAAATGAATTTGGTATAAATACTTGCTTTTCCCCTTCAGACTTTGTTTGTTAAAATTTAAAGATTCCTTGCCGAGCTTTCAATTCAATATACTCTTTAATAAATAATTATTTATGAGAATAAATAATAATTTTCCCACCTTAAGTAGAACCATTGATCAAAATGGACTTGATTCCTGTTCCTGGTGAAAAATAATTCACCCATCAATATCCAAGGTACGTTTTATTTTATTAAAAATAAAATCCGTTAGTAAATTTTTCGTTTATTTTTCATTTATTTATGTTTATTAAAAACAAATATTGGTAAATTACAAATAGGCATAAAATATTCAGCAATGTTCTACATATACATATGCATATACATATATATTAAATAATATAATTTTATTTATTAAGGAAAATCATTATTTAATTGCTTATTTCTGTTGTACTTGTATACGTATATATGAATATATACATATATAAGATTAAGTATATAAGTGGGTTCGCCGCTTTCTTGTCCATACACACATATATACTTATAAGCACACACGCAATCGCAGTGAATTTAATGAAATTTTTATTATTTCAAATGCAACGGTAAATAAAATTGACAAATTTAAATATATATATAAAATAAATTGTCTTCTTTTTTGTTGCGCAAACTTTTAATTAACAACTTTTCACCAAACACACACTGGTTTCTTAATACACATTCACACAATTTTACACGCACACACTCATAGCACTAATAAAATCACAAAACAAAAGCGGCTAACCCATTCTAAAGCGATTTTCTTTGTTTAAATTTTTTTAAACAATTCTTTTTCTAATACATATATAGTGCTAATAAAAAATATACGCTTGTGTGTAATACTTAAAAGCTACAAATACCCCCAAAAGACTCTCACATGGTGCTTTTAAATTAAAGATAAGTATTGAAAATTATTGCTACTTAATGTTATCGAAATATGTGTATTTTTTATGCTTTTAAAAAAATAAGATTTTAACTTTTTAAACAAAAATATATCGTCGCAGGTATTGAAAGTGAAACAATTTTGTTTTCTGATATTTTAGCAAAAAGAGATTATTAATATTCAAGGTACTGGTAACTTTTTGATTTCAAAATAAAAATTTAAAGTGATTTGATTTCGAAAATGAAAAAAATGAATTGTCAACTTTCCAATATAATTTTTGGCCCTGCTATACTCTGCCGCAACATATATACTCGTACGTATGCATGTATTACCACACGACCCTACACTCTGCTCATTTATTTGCCCCTACACCCTTGTACTTCAGTTTTTCTTTTTTTTTTTTATAACCACCTCCCCCAATTTGTGGCCCACACCTGCTTTTATTCGCTCTTTGACAGTTTTATTTGGTTATTGTTCACGTCAATCAGCCGTTTCATCTGATCACCTTGTGCCAACAGCTGATGCGTTGGCTGACAGCCCATGCCACCGGCAGCGGAGAGTAATGCGCGTCCAGCAATGGAACGCTTAACAATACCGTTAGTATAGCCATTGCTATAAGTTTTAGCCGAACCATTTGCATGGCCATTAGTCGTAGCCGCAGCTGCTGCCGCTTTACGTGTATTATAGGTCTTTCTATAGAAGTTGGCAAACAAATAGAGGAAAATGATCGTATTGGCGACAAAGAACAGGGTAAGTGCACGTGGCATATTGCAACCCTTAGCGGCAACCAGCAACATATAACCCAAAATCAATACAAATTGGATGAGTTGAATGCTGGTCATATACTTTTTCCACCACAAATATTTCTGGTATTGCGGTCCCATGGCAGCGACCATATAATAGAAATACATAATAATATGAACGCCGGAGTTGAGTATGCCAATAACGACGCCTTGCTCACCTAAAAATATAAAAATACGGAAATAATGAATGAGCTAGAATATAAGGTAGTTTTTGGTTTAATTTAAACAATTCACTTACCCGGCGCATACTTCAGATAACCCCAGGAGAAGAGCGCAGTTATGGTGTGATGATAAACGTGCAAGAAAGAAACTTGATTCTGCTTCTTACGCAACACAAAGAACGTAGTATCCAGCAAATCAATGATTTTCGAAAAGAAGTAATACCAGGCGCCCGAGTAGAGCATCAAGTTTTGCTCGCGATTGCGCACGATTTCGCACTTTGTAGAGAGTATCGAGGCGAGAACGTTACTCGTGTTGATGGACTGCAAAGGGAGGAACAAAAAATTAATAGAGCCTTATGAAATAATAAAAGCGAAAAATACGAATATTCAATGAATAAAAGATTATCAAACTGATCTTCTAGAAATGCTCGTGAAACTAAAACACAGACAAGGCTTTTTGGAGCATTTTCTCCAGGGCACGTCTTTCCTTATAGAATCTGTAAGCAACTATAATTAAGGAAATTCTTAAATGTGCACAGTATATCTGCTTTAAACGAACGACCTAAAATTATTTAAATTCATTCGCATTGTTTTTCAGATCTTTTACTTTTACAATGGGATCTTAATGATTTAGCCGATTGGAGCATTCGGAATAATTTGCCCCTTAATATAAAAAAATGTTTTAACATTACTCTTTCAAAGTGCTTAAATGTGCTCAGGGCGACTATATTATCTATTTGATCATAAGCTATCTTTTGTAAATATATATTTGGATCATGGTGGGTGTGTTGTTTGATGTGGGATTTACTGAAAAAACTGCATTATTCCTAAAGCTTAATCTAACCTTGCTTTTTAGCGGCGTTATGGCGGTTATTTCAAAGATTCCTATATAACTCTTTGGTTCGTTTAAAGCTGAAGTATACTAGCTTAATTTGGAACTCAATTTATTCTACGCATTCCTCTACACTTGAAACCATCCAACGTAGGTTTATTCGTTTAGCGCTTGCTTCGCTCCATTTCTCGGATCCCCTACCTTCTTATACTTTTCGATGTAAGCTAAAAATCTTAGATCTCTTGCTCTTCGATCTATCCAGTCATTACCATTTATTTATGATATCAACAATGGCATAGTGGACTATCCAGAGCTGTTTGAGTAAGTCAGCTTTAATGTTCCTCCTAGAACCTTGCGCTCTCTTTATCTGTTCTATTTAAAGATGTAATTACGATCCTATTCTTAGAGAACTCTCTGAATTTAATAAAATCTCTAGAAGACTGGATCTTGATTTAGCATTCCCGATATCTAGTTTTGGCTCTGTTATTATTACTTTTTATTCTTAGTATACATTCATAGTTTTAAGTCTTTAATTAATCTGTACTTCTAGACTGTAAGATTTGTAATTCATTGACTGAATAAATCGAAATTGAAATTGAAATTGAAATTGAAATTGAAATTGAAATTGAAATTGAAATTGAAATTGAAATTGAAATTGAAATTGAAATTGAAATTGAAATTGAAATTGTAAATTGAAATTGAAATTGAAATTGAAATTGAAGTTGAAATTTCTTATTACGTTCTACTCAGGTATATAGTCTCTACTCTACTTGTAATACGAACGGGGCTCACTAAAATGAAGTCTCATAAATATAATTCTTTTTGAAACCGTTTTTCCTCTGAAATTCAGTTGAATTTAGCATAAATGTATTTAAACATTATTCGTATATTAAGTGGATTTAAATTTTTCTAATTCTTAGCCATAACTTATTATATGTTATATGCCTGTTTTTATGTCTACTTACCACGCGGCACAGATATATTGAGAAACAAACTTGAAATGCATTGTAGACGACCATAGCTTTCTTTAGATCATACGGTTTACGATCACGCATGTAAGCGGGTCCGATTTTGAGCACAAAAAGTAAGTAAAGTGCCACAATTAAAACCACCGGCCCAGGTGAGTTCATTAAAAACCAGCCATCGACCGTTTCATCTGCATGAAAAATTATAAATGTTCGTTAATACCTTTTATATTCAAATATTTTCATGAAGAATACTTTTTTTTTTAAGAAAATATTTTCAAATTCTTATTAAGGTGAGAAATAATTAATATACAAAATAATTAATATTTTTTTTAAACTATAAAATTTAAAAATATTATTTTCTAAATTATGTAGTTTTATATTTTTCATCTACAAGACTGGTATAGGCCACATTAGCATATATTCTACTGATTTTACAGTTTGAATATTTTTCAATTTTTCAGACATGTGAAGTAATATTTGGGTACAATATATGGCCTGAAATGATTATTCCGATACTCTTCTGTTGGAGTTTCACTATAGATCAATATTTTGTGGCTTTTTTCGGTAAAAAAAATAATTGATATTTTCCAATTGGAATATTTCTATCAAATTCGATCGATATTTTTTGAATGCAATATTTTCAATCAAAAATATTCGTTATTTTTTAACTCAAAATTTTAGGATTAACTTCTATCGAAATTTTGTGATTCTTTTTCCTTTTTTTCTTTTACTTATTTATTTATTTCATTTTTTTAAATGGATATTAAGAAGCTTGTCGGTCATAATCGTCAAAGTGTTCGCAAAGACCTCGGCGAAAGGATAAACTGCGGAATATTTGCCATTCCGTTGCTAATCAAATAAGAACCTCTTCTGCTTAAATGTAACTCTAATTAATGTGATTTACAATTTATCGAAAATATTGAAAAAAAGAATAGTTAAACTCAATGGAAATCGAATTGTCGAATTTAAATTTAATATGTGTATCCAGGTTATACCACTGAACAAAAAAAAAAAAAAACAAAGGAAAATGGCTATTTTTAGTTGAATAAAAAAATAATAAATTTAAAAACTTAAATCTCAAAATATCAATTTAATCTGGTCAACAAATTTTGTTCAAAATTAACAAAATTTGATAGAAAAAAATAGAAACAGAGAACACCAACCAAATAAAAATCATCATAAAAAGAGCCGAATTCATACTAATTTTAATTTAAATATTGTTAAATATTAAAATAATTCTCTTTTGGAAACATGTAATAACATTTTCATTTATGAAAATTAAGAAACAAAATATGTATGTGCTCTTCAAAAATTATTTTAATTTTTTTTTTCTTATTTTCAAAGCACTTTTGATAATAAATGTAAGTAAGAAATATTAACTATTTACTCTGCAACAAATAGTTCAACAACTTTTTTCTAAACAAAACTAATAAAGTTTATTCAAATTTAAAAGAGCTATTTTTACTGAGTAAAAAATTAACAAAGATATTATTTAATCACATTAAAAAAAAAAAAAAAACTTTACATAAAAAAGAGGCACCAAACTTCATTTTGTCACTTTCACCACTCACAAAAAGTAAAAAAAAAAAATTATTATTCATAAACTGCATTCGAGAATTCATTCAAAAATTCATTCAAAAATTTTTTCGTGAATGCAATAGTTACTCACCAATACCCTTCGAGAGGCCGGATATACGTTCATTGAAAATTTTTATATAGGTTGCCATTTTCGTCGTTACACTTGTATGTAGTATGTATGTTTCGTTCTATAAGTATAGAAAAAAATAAAGAACACAATTAAACAAACACCAATGAGATTTACTCTCTTTTCTTTCATGAATTAAACAACACAACACACAATAATTTTTAAATAAAAAATAAAATGATTATTGAATTAAAGGAAACGCGTATGAAATTTAAATGTAACTAACCATATGAATATGTATTAGAGCCCGAAGATGCCTGTCAATATCAGAATATAATATTTATATAAGCACCAATAATTTCTATAGCCACGTCCGAGCTACTAGTACTGCACCGCACGAAAGCACTCACAATTCTAATAGCAAATGTTTGGATTAGTCCATGCTAAGCGTTTTCTAGCTAACACACCGACAAACGCCCATACAAAGACTGATATACGTTGGCTTATGTGGGTATGTGTGGACAGATGGGTGCATGTATTGGTGTATATTCTAACAAATATACACGTCAAAATAGTCGAATCCATAGTTCAAATAATAATAAAAAAATACTTTCGAATATCTGTGCCTTGAATAATGAATTAGTTAGATTTGACCAGCCAACAAGTGTATACATGAATGCATGTATGTACTTGTGTGTTAGCTAGGCAACAAGTTTATGTTATAGCACATACCTATAGACGAGTATACGAATTTTGTTAGTATTGGCGAATTTGATAACAAGCATTTGCCGATACACACCACCACAGCACTTCAGTGTGATGTAAACCAACTCTACCCAAACTTATTGGAAGGAACTCTTACTACCGAAGAATAGTTTTTAGTTAGTGTTTTCAAAAAACAGTTGTTGAAACATATATTACTATTACCCCACTCAAACCCGAGGTGTTCTCAGGCAAGTTTTAATTTATCTTGTAAGATGTTATTGGTATTGATATGTATTTCGTAAATATCATAAGTCGATATCGTTAAAAAATTACTAAGAATAATAAATAAAATAAAAAAATTTATAAAAAAAGTCTAATTAAATTATATAAACTAAAACCAAAGAAAAAATAGAAAAAAAAAATAAATTAAAATGAAATCGAACAAAGAGGAACAGAATAAAACAAAATAATATAATTTAAAACCGAGTCATCTAAAATAATTTAAGAAAAAGTGAAATAAAATAATATTAAATAAAAAAGAACAATAAATAAATAAAATTAAATTAAGTTAAAAAAAAGAAATAAAATTCCAAAAGAAGTAATTAAAATGATATAAAAAAACAAATAATATATAATGTAAAAATAAACGAAATGAAAAAAATAAAAATAAAATACAATAAAACAATATTTAATAAAATAAAACCAATTAGAATAAAGTAAAATAAAATAAAATAAACTAAATAGACTCTTATGAAATAAAAGAAAATCATCTAAAACAAAACAAACACAAAATAAAATAAAGAAATAATGCAATAAACTGAAGCAAAACATAAAATAATAGTTTTTTACACAATAAAAAAAAAAACAAAATAAAATGAAAAACAAGAACAAAAAGTATTATGGAACATAATAAAATAATATTTACTTAAACAATTTAAAATAAAATTATAAATATATATAATTCCGATAAATTAAATTATATTACTTAAAATTTCATAATTTAAAACAAAATAAATTTAAAATGAAACAAAAGGAATAGATCAAAAACAAAAAACTTCAATTGTTATTAAATAAAATTAAATTATATAAAATAAACAAAAAACAAATAACATTGTTTTTAGTAAAATATGCAAACAACTATTAATTTAAATTTAATTACTTAAAAAACCTACCATGAAGAAAACCAAGCATAATTATATAAAATAATAATCATTTTATTAAAATATTTTAAAATTATACAAAGTAAAATAAAGTTTATTAAATACAATAAAACAAATGAAATACAAAAACTTTTAAAAATAAAAAAATAAAATCAATATGCATTAAATTAAATATATTATTAATTTAAAATAAGTAACAGAAGTACATAAATACAAAATTAAAATTAAATTAAATTATAAATATTAATATAAAGTTAAAAAATTAATTCTGCTGTGTTATATTAAATTAAATTAAATCAAATTAATCAAGATCAATAAACGAATTATAAACTACAATGGAATTTAATTAAATAAAATAAATTAATAATACTAATTGAAATAACTCAAAACAAAATTAAAGAGATAAAAAACCCCAATTGAATAATATTAATATAACATAAAATGAAAAATCCCAAAAAAAAACATTATAAAAAAAATTCCATGAAGCAAAGTAAAATGAAAAGTGAATAAAATTAAAATAAAACAAAATAATTATAATAAAACGTAATATAATACAATAATATATGTTGAAATAAATTGAAATAAAATTAGAAAAGTAAATAAAAAACTTGTAAATAAATTATAATCATTAAAATTAATTCAAATAACATTAAATAAATTTAATTAAAATCATTGAAATATAAAATGTAATGTAAAATATAATAAATGAAAATAATATAAGTAAAGCAAAATAAAATAATATTAATTAATTAAATTGCAAAGCTTCAGTGCTTTATTTTATTAAATCTCAAAAATATTATTGCAACAATGTAGAGGTGTCGGCGCAAAGTTCAACCACTCCACCAATTGGTATATTAATTTATTCTAAGCTAAATTTTTGCACGTACAAACGCTCAAATCAGCTTGTTGGATAACGAGCTGTTGGATTATCTGTCTACAAAACGGTTCAAATGACAGATTTTTTTAACATACTGCCTGGCGGCCACGGTAGCCGAGTGGTTAGCACTGCGTACTGCCATTCAGAAGGCTCGGTTTCAAATTCACGTGCAACCAACAACCAAAAGTTATAGAAATTTAATTTAAATAAAAAATTAAATTAAATTTTCTAATTGCGGTCACGCCTCGGCAAGGAACGTCAACCCCTCCGAGTGTATTTCGGACATGAAATCAAGGAACCTCATAAAAAACCATCAGCCGTTCGGAGGCGGCTTAGTATTGTATAAACTGTAGGTCCCTTCATTCGTTGGGAAAACATCAAGACGCAAAACCACAAATTGGAGGAGAAGCTCGTCCGAAAATTGCTTCAGCGCTTCAGCTATAGCCAATAATAAGGTCTCAAAAATTGATTTAATTAAGTAAAAACTGTAACAATTTTAGGCATTTTATAGAATGAATGAATTTTTTGAAACGAGACATTTTTTAAATAAATAACGTTACATAATTCTATAGTATTTATATCATACATTTGGAGATAGTGAAATAAAAATGTCAACGTTAATAATTAGGACTTAATTGACTTTTACTTTATTGCACAATTGTTGACTGTTAAAACCTTAGCTATAAGTATTTAGTTAAAAAAATGAATTATACTCCTATTCGCACCGTTATAAAATTTAAATATGCATAAATTTTCAATTAATTGTCGTGCTCATCTCAGAGAATATAAATCAAATTAATAAAAAATAAATAAAATGTTAACACAAAAAAAAAATCTATGTATTAATTCAGCTAAGCTATAAAACCACAAAAATTAAAGTTAGCTAGAGAATTCTCACGCCATTCCAAGAAGCAAGAAACACATATACATATGCATGAATGTGTAGAGGTACTTGTAAAGAATTAATAAACACTTGCGCTCAACAACAATAACAATAATAATAATTATCTAATGACTGTAACACCCGATACGAGAGTTCAATGACAAATTTTGGTTGATGCCACCACAAAAATTTGCAAAGCTGCACACACACACAAAGTCTGAATATTCTACTTGTAAAACGCCGACACAACATTTATTTTTTCTTTTCTTTCTTGTTAATTCTTTGTATAATTTTTGACGCCAGCAAATGCCATTTTTGTAATATTGTAGAACAACAACAAACGGTTGCTGGAACATGACATTCAAACAACTTACAATTTACTTACATACGAGTATATACATAAATACATAATTGAGTTGATGACACTTCACAGCTGTTGGCTGGCCGATTGGCCGTTTAACTGAACCTTGCCTTGTGCGGCAAATAATTGGTGAATTTAGCAAAGAACCTCACCTCGTTCAATGCCACACCAACACCAACAAAGTGGCATTGCTTATAACACCAGTAGCACGTGTGTAAAAATGTTTGTGCAGGCATTGGAAATTCGCATAGCGCAATAAATGCTGACGGCTAAAATGCAATATATACTAGGTATCTATAAGTAATAACAACAACACTGACTCACGGCATGTGGCATAAGCAAGTGGCAATACCTGAAAAATTATTAAATAAAAAATAAATCTTTGCTTAGGCAAAAATTCACAAGATCGAAGTCAAGGCGTTCGACTTTTTTCACATTGAAATTTTTAATCACTTTATGTTTGCTTGTTGTTGTTGTTGTTGTTGTTGTGCGTTGTTGTTGTGTGTTTTTTTAAACGCTCGGTTGTTGTTGCATCAATTATGTACGCCGGCTAGCAGTAGCAGAGGTCCCTTCTAGCGCTTGTGCTGAAGAGTAAAATTCAAGGAACTGGGGAGCACCCAATTTCTCGAGAATCTCTCCTCTTAAGTTGTAATCAAAATAATCCGGTGATGGATGGAAGCCATATTTATGCTCAAGGAAACAAATCACCGGTGATTGAAAACAAAATTATATATGTAAATGTATGTAATACAATTCACTGAGTCAAATCTTGTAACTCGGGAGCGCTTCTTACCCTTACCAAATCCTTCTGGTGTTTTTCAGTGACAGTGACAAATGCTACAATCTCCCATTTAAAATTCTAGTGCCCAAGGAATTATGTAGAAGACATTTCACAACACTTTCGAAATATGAAATAATGGGAGAGCACATTTAAGAATGATCTTATTGATGGTTAAATTTCATAAACACTGAGACCGCATTTGAAAAATTTAATTTTTAATCAAAAGATACCTATTTTCATTTGAATTTCTTCTTCTCTTTCTCTCTCTCTCTCTCGAATAAATGCAACACAGCCACGATTTCCATGAGAGACATCCCAAGCCGCAGTTGTGCGGTGGATGAGCTGACGGGAGGA